AAAATATTGTAATAATGCAGGCAATAAAAACATCCGTATAGGAAGTACAAGCTTAGTATAAAGTTTATAAATGTCTCAACCCAGTACTCTCAAACCCTACATTTGCTTTTCCTGTATTAACAACAGAACAATTTTGTTACCTCTCTAGTTTCATATTTATTCATGACTAGCATGTTACCCCACACCAATAGTTTGATATTGGTATTATACATATGAAAAACATGTAATCAGAAATAATTCCTGTGATTGGTGACGACTCCATTAAAGAATTTTCATTAATTTGATATTTTTGGAAATGTAATCACAGTTTCAAAAAACATTAAAACAATATATTGAGTTTTAGTTTCTTCATTATTCTTAATGTACTGCATTATTAATGTTGCCTGACCTTGTCCCCTGAGGTAAGCACTGCTGACACCTTTTTTATTATTTTTCTCATTAATAAACATGTGCCTTCTTCATTAGCCCATGTATTTCTTCCACCATGTAGAGTGGATAAAGCGTCTTTTATCATTCATTTATTATTCATTAACTGCTGATTTTAAGTCTTTCCATGCCATCTTCCTACAAAAAGACCATTGGAGCGGTTAGTTTCTTAATTTTGTAACCATGCACGTAACTTAGCTGTTTGTGTAAGAATTACAGGTCTGTATTTGGACACTGATAACTGAAAACACAAAATATTTGTTGTTGCTGTTTTGCCTAGGAGCAAAGTATGTTACTAATGTAATTTGCTAGTAATATCTCATTTTAAAATACAAATGCTGACCCAGCACACCAATGAGGGGAATCCCTACCAGTTTTGCCATCCTTCCCTAAATTCACTGTGTCCCTTATCTGTTTAGCAAACTTTTTAACAGGCTATGCTGTGAGACTACAAATAACTCTATGGTTAGACATTAAACTACAATGTAGCTCCCCTAAATCTGTTTTTCCAGATTAGGAAATAAAAAGAAAAGGAAAATATTCTCTGTGACTTTTGTATGTTCTTAGCCACACAGATCCACCAAAGGCAGAGAAAAAGACCTTCTGCCACGTCATCCAGACATGCACTTCCCCTACTCTACATCATCTAAATGCAGATGTCTGTGTAGCATTTACTTAGCTCCCTCTTCTTCTGTCTTAGGCATACAAACATGGTAAATACAGGGACACTTTTAAAGTCTCTGAGTGTATAATTGCCATGTTCATCCATAATGATATAGGAAGTGTTCAGTCTGAAGAAACCCAAAAAACCCCAAGGTTAGGAGATAAAACCCCTTGACTATTATAATTTAGTTTCACTGCCTCTGTAATTGCAAAAGTGAAGTCAATGCATTTTCTCTGCCTGATGGGGAGGATACAAAAGTAAAAGGTCAAGGCTTTATCCATCTGTGGCTCTGTCACTGACTTAGTGTATAATCTTGCATAAATCACTTTGAGCTGTTGTGTATCAGGTTCCTAACTAGGACAGTTAATGGCATCTTCTTGCTCTGCAACTAATTTTAGGTCTATCTCAATTCTAGTAGCTTAATAATATTTATCAACATTAACTTATTGGACAATGCTTTTAAATGCCTTGTGCTTATTTTTCTGTACTAATGTTTCCAAAACTGTTTTTATTGTCATGATTGTAAAATGTACTTTAAATCCTTATTTTTATTATTTTATTTTCCCACAATTGGTAGTGAAAAGGGATTTTTGTTTAGCAATGTGTGCTGTTTTCCTCTAATGCTGGCTTACATCAATGACAAGTGATTTGAAAAGTCATGCCATCATAGCAATATAAAGGTATAGCTTGAACCTTTGACTTTATTCAGAATTGTTCACAGTTGCATTCATTCAACACAACTTTTTATTCTTTTATTCCCTCATCCATTCATTCTCTCATGCACCCTGCTATTCCCTGCATTATGTATCGGTTTGCAAACCTCTGGGCATGTTCAATGCCCTTTTCATTGACTTACTAATAACCTACCACCTGTTCACTCACTCACTCTTGGACAGATCTGCCCTCGGTCTCAGATCTGGCTTCTGAGACACTTTTGGTCTCCTCTCAGACCCTACTCTGCTCCTGTATCTTCTAACCTGTAGCTTATTTGTTTGTGAATTTAATTAAGAACTGCAGGTTTAAGAGCACCATCAGTTGTTACAGCTCTCTTTAACCCCTTTTTCTTTCTTAATTGCTTATTTATTTTTCCTGGCACAGATTTGATACAGCTTGCCTAGACTTAAAATACCCGTTTGTATATTCAACCTCAACACACTGTCTGAAGTAAGTGTGTTAGGACTCAAGCACTCTTTACATACTATTACTTTGCAGAAAGCATTATGTGTCCTTTTTAAAGATTAGACTTTATTATGCTTATAGTTGAGGTTTTTAAAATCATGTTTCCTCCATGTCCTTGGAACACCCATTATGGAACTGATGTGGACATGTATTAATAATTGTTCAGTATATGATCTCATTGCCACAGCATGCATGATTTGGAAGATTATTATCTCTTTTAGGAAAACAAAATCAGTTATAATTGCCATGAGGACCAGTGTCTTTAGCCCTACACAACTAGTTCACATACAACCCAGATTAATATTACAGACCTCTGGAAAACCTCTCAAATTTGTGTCAGAGGCCATTTGTTTTTTAGTCCTGTGAAAGACATGTCTTCTAATTGTAACTAAAAGGAATTTTCAGTGGTGCAATTCATGGTACCAGCTGTAAGTTCCCAACTACTACTAGTGTTACTACTAGTGCTACTACTAGTGTTTTCTTTTTCTCATCAAATCCCATTTGGTAATATATTCTTGAAAGAAGGTTCTAAATGTGATTGAGAATCTGCCATTTCACATATCAATTCCTTGTTTTACCTCCAACCTTCACGTCTGGAAGACTGTCCAGGTTTTGCTGAGAGTGGAGACTGAAAGCTACTTTATAGAAATTAACAATATAATTCTTAAAAGGTAATGACATATAACCTGGACAGAGTCAGAAATAATGGATATTTTTTCTTTGTGCTAGCCTTTGCTCGAGCTCCCTTGTGCTCCCAGTTTTTGGAAATCTGTGTAGACTTAAGGCTTCATGGGGAAACCTGACAAAATCCCTGTGATTTTCCTACTCAGAGCTAAGAACTGCCCAAGCCTAGATTTTGTAAAATGAGAATTAAAAAAGCTTCTTTGTTTCTTCCCTTGGAATATAATTTCATAGTTGTATCCCTCAGGACATGCTTAAAGTCTTGCCTACACTAGAGGGTTTTGCTAGCAGATTAATACCAGCAGTCAGTTCCAGTGGAGATGCAAGTTAATCTTCTGACGGTATAAATTACAGCAATTTCCCAGATACAATATGATAAGGATTTTTTTTATCATTTTCAGCAAGGATTTTCTGGCATGGGTTCATTTGATCCTTTCATTTATGCCCCTGTAAGACTCGTCAGAAGTGGTTCTCCCCTTCCTTGCAGACCATGGCTTCTCAGCCCCTCCTGCTCCCTGCTGCTGCTGTTCCCCAGAGCTGGGTATGACCACTTTCTTCTCCATGCTTCATATCCAATGTTTTGATGGCATTATGGCCCTCTTTGATGCCAATGGTGTGATGAACACTGGTTATCTAATGTTAAGCTGGACTAAGTTACATCACCATTTTGAAAATGTAGCGCAGGAAAACTCATTTCCCACTGTTTACCACACAACAAACTGCTTGCTGGCTATCCTAGTACCCTCCATCAGATGCTACCATTTTGTAGACACTGAAATATCAAGGTTGCTTTGCGTGTAACTTCCTTAATCTGAAGTTATTATCATGTCTCCATGCTTTAAGAGGCTTGATTTCCTCTTGACATTATTTCTTACCTACATTTACCTTAATGTGAAATATTAGAGATTGATTAGCATGCTATTGTAAAAATACAGTATTGTGTAATGCTGGAATTTAAAGGTCAGCCAGTAAAGCAAGTGTTAATATCTGACAAACTAAATATTTTGTTCAGTCTTGCTTCAATGACTACTGCTAACCAAACAATCTCAAGACACTGGTATCACCAGTTCCACAGCAATAAAAAAACCCAAACCAAACCCCAATCCAAAACCAGACACCCATGTGTTGATCCATGTCATTCATCTGAACATTCACACCAGGCGTGCAAGGACATGATGATAATCAATAACTCATCAGTGACTCAGCAGAAGGATCGCAGGTGAGAACTGTGCATTTACTGACCTATTTTCTAGACAGAAGTCCTCCTTCTATCTACCGCCAAGCAGTCACCTAAGCGAATCTATGCTTTTAAGGTGCAATAATTCCAGTAATATTTGCTTTCCATACGAGTTATTTCATTCCCATGGTACCGAGAGGCTGGATCGCAGGTGCGGTTTTCCCTGTGGTCTGCGGCGAGCGGATCCATCCTGCCCGCGACGAAAAGGCGGAGGAGGAGCAGTGGAATGCGACAAGTGGCACTAGGTGCAAGGAGCAGCGGCGGCTCTTGCTCGGCCCGGCTGAACTGCGGGACACCGCACCTGCTTTCGGTACAGGCACCTCGGTGCCTTGCCAAGCCATGCAGCCCCAGGTGGCGCGGGAGGAGCCGCTCCGCCGGCGCCGTGACCGGGCTAATGTCACCCGGCGCCGTTACCGCTGCGGCCGCGCCGCGGGGCCGCTGCCGTTAACGGGGCTGCGCCGGGCGCGGGGGAAGGGACGAGCAGGGCGGCTCAGGCCCCCGCCAGACACCCGGGAGCGAGGGCCGGGTCCGCCCGCAGCCCCGCTCGGCCGCCATACTGCGCGGCAACCCAAACTTGTTACACACGGGCACCAACTCCTCCTCCCGCTCCTGCCCCTCCCGCCGCCGCCCTGCCCCCGCCGGCGCGGGGAGGAGGGGGCTGCGCCGGCCCAACCCCAGCCGCGGGGAAGGCGCCGAGGCAGACGGGGGCCGTGCGAGGGGAGCTCCGCAGCCCCCTGCAGGTAGGAGCGCCCGGCGGGGCGGGCTGTGCGCCGGCCAGGGAGGAGGAGACGGCGGCGGGGGGCGGGCGGAGGGAGCAGGAGGCGGCGGCGAGGGAGCGGTTGGCACTGGGGCAGCGACCGTCCGTGCCCGCCGCGCCTTCTCCCGCCGAGGTGGGTGCGGGGCTGGGGGACCCGGGCGTGGGGACGGGCGGCGCGGCCGCACCTACGGAACGCAGTCCGTCCTGCCGCCTGACAGGGCCCGGGCCGCCTCTGGGTTCGGGCGGGAGGCAAGGGCGCTGGCAGCCCCCGCCTGCGACGCGGCCGGACCGAGACGGAGAGGAGGGGCCTCCAGCTGCAGCAAATGAGCGAGGGCTGCCAGGTTTATAAATCTGCTTTTCCTACCACCGCCCTCGAGCCCCGCTGACTCCGGCGGCAGCGACCGCTGGCTGCGGCTCCGCCAGGTGCGTGCCCGGGGTGGCGGTCGGGCCTCCGCTGCCCGCGCTTGCCGCACCTGCCGCGGAAGACGGGGGCCGGGGGCGCGCCCGAGGGTGGTGAGGAGGGAGGCGAGGCTTTTCGCCTGGTTGAGAAGCGGTCGGTTTCCAAGGGCCAGCAGCTCAGGTTGCCAGGAGTGTGTCCGGGCGCTTCGGGGCGGCCGCTGTCTGCTCGGAACCGCCGTCCCTCACTGAGCGGAGAGTAGTACGCGGTACGGGTGCCTGCTGTCGGGTGACCGGCTGGATGTGTTCTGAGGAGCTGTTATGTGCGGCTTTATTATTTTTTACTGTCGGGAGAGTTTAAATCAGGTCTCCACAGAGGTGCTGAGTTTGCAAGGTACTGGTGAAGAGAGTTTTCTGTCCCCATTTGCCCCTCAGCTAATTCTCAGGGAATGTCTTCACTGCTTCCCGGAGGTGTGGGTTGTTGCATGGTATTTTCTGCTTATACAAAACTACGCATCATGGGCGTTTAAGGGAGAGGGATTGAGTGGATGAATGCAGCCGTGGTAACTTCATTGTTGCAGCTCCTTTCTATTGCGTGACTGCCTTTAGCAGGGAGGGGAGTAGGAGCTTGATCCTTCCCTGGTGTAGGAGGGAACCTGATGGATCTGTAGGTTGAAGGGATTTTTCAAGTCTGCTATTTGGTTTAATGCTGAAACATTTTCCTATCTTACTTCATGTCTTTATTGTCATGTGCCTCTTATGGGGAGTTAGTTCGGCTGAAAAATGTGAACCATCACCTTAAAGTTCGTAGCACCCAGGTATTTCTAGTAACTCTGGAAATCAGTGTAGTAATAAACCTCTTTTTTAAAGAAAATTAGAATTCTTACAGTAATTAGCACACGTCTGTTGAGTACTTTATGCCCATCGGACTCAGAAATAGCTACTGATCTCATACTCCCTTTTGGATACCTGTATGGAGGTTTTGTTAGAGAGCTGTTTAATGACTTCTTTTATTAGAAAGAGTGCGAGCTCAGGCAGTTACGCAAGTGCGCCTAAAGGAAGCTGTGCTGGCTGCATGGATGGCGAATGTGGAGGTCGAGCCGGAGAGGGAGTATCGTTTACAAACTGAGTTAGAAAGGGACATTGTAAGAGAGAGCCGAGTGGCTCGTGTTGGGGGAAACACAGTACGTACCATGTTCCCTGCTGTGCAGGGAAGAGCGTTTGTGCAGCCTGGGACGACCTGGATGGATGTATGGATGGCCACTTATTCTTTCCGGTAGCAGGGATGAGGTATAGGTGATTTCTTCCACTGAGGCAAACCGGTGGCATGGGAATGTGTTACTGCGTTTATATTCTTAGAGAAAAAAAAAAGGCTTTGTAAATGGGGAGCTAGACTGACAGATGAAGTCTGTCCTTACTGTCATCTCTTGGCTTGTAGAGGAAGTATTTCACCATTTCTCCCCCTTCCTGTGAAGCACTTCGTATTCCTTTTTCGATGGTCCAGGATTGCTATAGAGTCTGCTGACAAAAGCTGCTTATATTCATACCTACCAAAATAGGTCTATAGCTGGTTTTTAAATTTCTCTCTCTTTTTTTTTTTTTTTTTTTTTTAAGAAACAAAAGCCATTGTAGGTAGTGAGGAGGGTGGTAGCTACTTCCACAACAAATTAAGCATTTGATCTGAACGATTCTATTTCGAAACTCTAACACTGATTCATAGGTTTTTCTGAACACTCTTAAGTACAGGTGCACCCACAGACTTAATACGCTGTGTTGTCATCTCTTTGCTGGTGTTATGATTTTCTCCTCTCCTCCCCCCATCCCAGTCCCTGCATAAACAGCTATTACACTGAACACTTGATAACCTTTTCTTCTTAACCTTGCATGGATACAGCAGTACCCTGCCAAAATGTGTGGATTTATACCACTAAGAGGTCCTGCAAAAAGAAGAGATGTTCTGGATGCCCTGGCACATCCCATGTTGGCCTGCCTCCTGAGCAGCTGAGCCTCAGAGTTCCCTGCTTCATGCAACCTTTTGCTGAGGAGGAGCTGGAGAACTCGAGAGGATCTGTCATCTGCTGAAGGCCACTTGGGTGGAGTTAAAAGCTGCACTGTGCTTGCTCTGCAGCACACTCTTGTCCTCTCTCCCAGCTGTCTTAGGGGGTGTGTGCCAAATGAATGTTTTCATTTTAAAATACATTTTCTTAGCTGTTTTCTTGCAATGAAGCAAGTGGGAGGTCTCTTTCAGTCATGTCAAAATCAATTCTTGTTCTGGGCTGCTGGCATTAGATGTAATACTTTCATATGTCACCTAGTTTGAAAAGGTGTTGGATAAGTCGATAGGTGCTTGTGCCATAATCTGATTTTTAAGGATGACTTTTCTAAGTGGGACTCTAAATCAACAGAAATAAAATATTGGAGCTTTTGTATCAGAGTGATGTTATCTTGGAGCTCCACCGATTGTTTTGTTTCAGTTTTGGTTTTCTCCAGGAAAAAGGGATTCTCAAGCTAGTTGTTACAATGGGGATTTTGTAGATAACAAGAATATCAAGTATTTCCCCTGAATGTTCAGAGGTGGTTACTTATCCCATGTTTTACTGTGCAGCGGTAATGAAATAATTGCCAAAGTTGACTAACATGTCTTGTAAGCCTCCAGTGCTTCCAAGTGTTGGATCTTGTTGAATTCATATTCTGTGATTTAAATGAGTTGAAAAGTAGCTTCTGAAGGTATATGATCATGAAAGCATTATTCATGACTGGGTGTTGATCTACTATGAATCTTACTAAACTAAAAATCAAGTACTTGTACACATGACTGAGACAATTTCTTACAGTGTTTTAAATTCTAGGTAGCATGTAGTAAGGTTGTAGATTTAAAGATGACAACAAAAACAAGTAAAGCCGATAGGAAACTTTCATTGTGGTAATATTGAACAGTTTGGTGGGGGAGTGTTCTCTGTTGTGCCCTATACTCAGTTGCTGTATGCCATGTTAATTAACTGAAGAAAGGTATGCTCATTTGGGAACCTGCATAACAAACAAGGAGCTGGGAACTGCTTTTGGCTTTTTGTTTGGTTGCTTTTTCTCTGAAGTTTTCTGCTTCCTTTTTTCTAACTTGTAATTACTCTGATGATAAAGCAATGTTTTATAAAGCCTTGATCTGGCTTTGCATAGTAGTCCTGTGCTTGAGTGTCTAGGTAGATAAGTAAAAGAAGTGTACTGAAAAGAGTGAGAGAAGTCCCACTTTACCTGTGGCTTGAGCTTGGGAAGTTGAAGCAGCTGAAGAGCTGCTTTTCAGTGGAGCATACCAACTGGTTGAGGACCAGAAGGAGCTTGGGAATGCCAAAAGGCACTACTGAAGCTTCCATTTGCAGTTAACTTGCCTGTGTGTTGATACAGCTGTGCAGGCTAGATGTGGAAGCTGTTTTAATTGTTTTCCTTCTGATATGATGGTTTTGTCCTTGTTTCATGGATGAACTGATGAAAGGAACCAAGAATTACTTTTTCTGTTTTGTAGCTCTTCAGCTACAAAGAGAAAAAGTAGAACCTCCTATTTCAGACTAATGTGTGCTGTCATCCTGGATTGGAAGTTACAGATCTTGCTGTCCAGAACTGGATTAATGAGGTCTTACATTTAATTGTATTCTGGCCAAAAAGCTTTAATATTCTTTTATCTGCCTGTAAAGTTCCAGGATTACAAAGGTGTGTTTAGCTTCTGGATGTGCTGCTGTAGCCTGCCTTCACCATGAGGGAGGATATTACCTGATGTGAGAAGTGTGTTGAGCTCCTCTTCTGGCCAAGAGCTGCTCTGTTTCCTCCTGTTCCCTGTAACACCAAGTTGTATTCTGGCCAAAAAGCTTTTATATTCTTTTATCTGCCTGTAAAGTTCCAGGATTACAAAGGTGTGTTTAGCTTCTGGATGTGCTGCTGTAGCCTGCCTTCACCATGAGGGAGGATATTACCTGATGTGAGAAGTGTGTTGAGCTCCTCTTCTGGCCAAGAGCTGCTCTGTTTCCTCCTGTTCCCTGTAACACCAAGTTGTGGTGCAGCGAGCTTCTGGGTATGTCTGTGTTTCTGAAAATAAAATTAATAAATATACCAGAACTTACTTTTAGTCAGTGTAGTGCTTTCTCTTTTTTTATTATGGAATGGAGCGGGGAAAAAACCCCCGTATATTGGATGAAGGGTCATGAGCGCTTTTTTCAGTACTAAACAGCAGCCTTTACTTCAAGATTATGTTATTCCATACTGAGGCAGCCAGTTCTTGTAGCCTGGGGTGAGGGAACAAAACAGATGACAAAATAATAAAGAATTGTAAACAGATGAAAATAATAATAAAAATTTGTAGATGTAAGCAGATGAGGAACTTAGGAACCTTTGTAAAGACTGTACATATAGTTAATTGAAGATCATGTATAAAGTTTAGAACCAAGTTTGTTGGTACAAGAAACAGTGGACACATTTTTTGTTTTTCTCTGCTCTTCCACCTATTTCTTTTTGTCTCTGTTCATGTACAGCAGTGAACTCATAATCCACTAGGCATTTTCTGCATTGATCCTCTTAAAAAATTAGTATTAGCCTATATATGAAGCAGGCTAAAGAGGATTGAACACTGCTGCAAAATTAGTACCTGTTGGCCTCATTGCAAGGACAGGCAGGTTCCCTGTTTCTTGTATGCCTAGTTTGTGTTCCTCTGCAGGGTTCTGCAGGCTGAGCAGATGTGTAGGTGATAAAGCACTGGTATGGAAGTGACTTGGAAATATATGGAATTAGCAGACTGGGAAATTGTGATGTCATTAGTGCATCTGATTACTTAGCTGGGAGATGGAAAAGAATATGCAAAGCAGGGGAGGGTTTATGGAGATGTCCAGTTCTACTGGGAAAGCAGGGAGGAGAGGAAAAACTTACAGACTTGGTTAGCTCTTTGCTGGTGTGCAACAGAGAGACCAAAGGTTGTTTGGAGCCTAAAGCAGGTCTGACAGAACTGCAGCAAGGCAAGACAATGGGGAAGCTGGAGTTCCCTGTGC